GGGGGGTGTTAGACCCAGCAGGAGATGGAGAGAGAACCCAGGAGTCCTGGCTCCCAGCCTCTACACTCCAACCCGCCAGTCCCTACTCCCCTTTTAGAGCCGGGGAGAGAAACCAGGAGTCCTGGCTCCCAACCCCCCTGCTCTGACTCACTAGCACCCACTCCCCTCCCCAAGCTGTGGAGAAAACCCAGGAGTCTGGGCTCCCAGCCCCGTAATATCTGATCCACCTGTGTGCTCCTATGATTTCTTCGGTGGTAAAGAAATCCCTAGCAGTTTGCTAGCTCAGTCCACCCTGTGGGTTTTAAATTCTCCCAGACAGACCTGGCCAGTTTCCAATGAAGGACGCTGGATATTGCAGCCCAGTGTGTCTGTCTAAGGAAGGACTCTAGTCAGAGCCACCAGGGAGGGCCATTCCAGCGGCCTTCCTTTCCCTGAGGGAAATAGAACGGTGCCCAAGAATGCACTGGGCCTTATAGGCATATATTGCTTCAACGGTAGGCCAGTTTCACAGCCCTCTCTTGCCTCAAGTCTCCTCCCCACCCTAACTAGGGAATGACAAGCGTCACCACGTACTGCTCCCAAAGCGGTCGAGACCTAGGTGTAGAACCTCCCTCAGCCTTGAGTTTGGGGGCCGGGCCCCAGTCCAGGAGCCCACCCAGCTGGCTGTGTGTGCGTATGGCTGGGCATGGGGAGCCACAGTACTCACCTGCTCACCCCCCCAGAACTTCGTGCTGCTGAAGGAGAGGCCTGAGGAGCCCCCCAAACCTCCCAGCAAGGCCATGGACTACTCCTCCTCCTGTGAGGAGCTGGACAGCAGTGAGGAAGAGGACGAAGAGCCAGAAGGCGAGCCCCAGGATGGGCGGGGGGAATCTGCCGGGACCAGGTATGGCATTGGAGCAGGCTGGGAATGGGGCGGGAGGGTGAGGTCAGTGTAACAAAGGGGGGACATTGCTGAGAGGATCAGATTAGGGTGAATTGCTTAGAGACAGGGCTACTTACAGCCCAGGACTGGGGTTTCCCCCCATACGGCGCCAAACCAGTCACAAAGGGCATTTCTGTTCACCACACTGGCCAGCAAGAAGTCACACAAGCAGCGCCCTTAGACACCCAGCCTCTGAGCCACCACCCAGGAGAGAGGCTGCAAAACCCATCTTGCCAAATCCAAACAGGTTCTCCCGGTCCCAAGGGGCCAGCCGCAGTCCCATACTAGTTGATACGTCAGACCTTACCCAACAAGCAGGCTGTGCCGCTCCTTTAGAGTCTAACCACTGGAGGGTTATTCAGAAGAGGAGAGGAGGAACGAATGGGAGCCCACTGATTGCACAGTTCCTGCTTGTAGCAGAGATGGGATAAACTGCTGTCTTACAGCAAGTCTCTGGAGTACGTTGGGATGGGTCTGTCATGGCTCCTTCCCCACTCTGGCATGATAAATGCAGAAGGGGGGGCCAGCAGGTGTACCCCAAAGCCTTATCTACCAGGCTTTGGTATCAAGCTACCCCCAAAATCTTAAAAACCTAGATCTTGGGAATAAAACTTCCGCTGCCACCACCCAAATGTTGATAAAGAAACCAGGGGAAAGATCATTTGGGAAATCTTACCCCTAAAATAAAAATCAAGGCACACAATTAACCACTGCCAGGTTAATAAAAAGAAAAGAAAGAACTTTTATTATTACAACAATATTCCTGTTGCAAACATAATGACTAGATAGGGAGGTAATAAAATATACTCATGGAGAAACTCCTTGGGCCTAGATCTTAGTTACAAAGAAAAGCCAAAACATCTTTTAAGCAGTGCCAGATCTCAGATCCCATACCCAATCCTTAAAACAATAAAACCTAACGAAACTGCCTAAACTTTACCCTACTTACAGAAATTGAAGAATGGTGTCTTGTAGAGAGAGAGAGACATGCTTGTCCCTCTCTGTAGCTGCAGAGAACTCTCCCAGAGAGACAAAAGGAGAAAGGAAAAAAACCCAAATTCCTTTGTCCCAGTTTGAAAAGTCCCACCTACATTCCTATTGGTCACTCCACCTGGCTAGCTGTAGTTAACCCCTTAATCCCCAGGCTGCTGGCTAACCCTCATAATCATGACAGGGTCATCGGCCCTTTCAGGCTGCAGCTCACAGCAGAGCCCTTCAGAGGGGATGAGCTGGGGTGAAAACAAAGCTGGAAGAGCCCCCAGGGCCCTCGTTCTACCCTTGCCCACGTGGAGGGAATCCCACTGCTCTCCTGCTGTGAAAGAGCCTCCCGCAATGGAGTTTGTCACGTGACCAGTCACTGTTCATGCCTGACTCAGGCCTGAGCAGCCATCGCTCACGGGCTGGTCTGAACCGTCACAGGGAAGCTCCTCCGCTGTGGATCAGCACCAGCCAAGGCCCATTGCCAGCGAAGTACTGCTACATAAGAACAGCCGTACTGGGTCAGACCAAAGGTCCATCTAGAAGCGATTTGTTTCCTGCCATCCCTCTCCAGCCTCTGACAAACAGAGGCCAAGGACACCATTTTATCCCCTGGCTAATAGCCTTTTATGGACCTAACCTCCATGAATTTATCCAGCTTCTCTTTAAACTCTATTATAGTCCTAGCCTTCACAGCCTCCTCTGGCAAGGAGTTCCACAGGTTGACTACACGCTGTGTGAAGAAGAACTTTCTTTTATTAGTTTTAAACCTGCTACCCATTAATTTCATTTGGTGTCCTCTAGTTCTTCTATTATGGGAACTAATAAATAACTTTTCTTTATCAGCCCTCTCCACACCACTCATGATTTTATAGACCTCTATCATATCCCCCCTCAGTCTCCTCTTTTCTAAACTGAAAAGTCCCAGTCTCTTTAGCCTCTCTTCATATGGGACCCGTTCCAAACCCCTAATCATTTTAGTTGCCCTTTTCTGAACCCTTTCCAAGGCCAAAATATCTTTTTTGAGGTGAGGAGACCACATCTGTACACAGTATTCAAGATATGGGCGTGCCATAGTTTTATACAGGGGCAGTAAGATATTCTGGGTCTTATTTTCTATCCCTTTCCTAATAATTCCTAGCATCCTATTTGCCTTTTTGACCGCCGCTGCACTCTGTGTGGAAGTTTTCAGAGAACTGTCCACGATAAATCCAAGATCTTTTCTGATTTGTCGTAGCCAAATTAGCCCCCATCATACTGTACGTGTAGTTGGGGTTATTTTTCCCGATGTGCATTACTTTACACTTATCCACATTAAATTTCATTTGCCATTTTGTTGCCCAGTCACTCAGTTTGGTGAGATCTTCTTGGAGTCCCTCACAGTCTGCTTCTGTCTTGACTATCCTAAACAGTTTGGTATCATCTGCAAACTTTACTACCTCACTGCTTACCCCTTTCTCCAAATCATTTATGAATAAGTTGAAAAGGACTGGTTCCAGGACTGACCCTTGGGGTACACCACTAGTTACCCCTCTCCAATCTGAAAATTTACCATTTATTCCTACCCTTTGTTTCCTGCTAGTCGCTGACTAGCCACCCTTACATGGGCTGTCGAGGTCTCCCAAAAGCGAACGTGAAACACGAGTACAGACCTGTCAGCCCAGTAACGAGAAGCGGTCAGTCCAAACCATTTTTGAGAGAGCGGGCCCAGAGACAGAGCCTTGGCCCTTGGCTTGCCTCTCCAGCCAGCCAAGATTGACCCACTCCCAGCTCCTCATCGCAACCCCCCCGCCAGGCCCTTCCTCTGGCCTTGTCTTGCTTCTCAGGCAAAGGATGTCACCTGGTCAGATCCCCCTCCCTAGCTCTGGCTACCAAGGGCATCAGCCATTGGGTACCCGGGGAAGGCTGTCACAGCAACATTCCCTCACTGTCGAAGTATTAGCACCATGCCCAGGGAAACTGAGGCGCACACAGGATTACTGTAGACCAGCAGGATTCACATGCCACATCACAAGCCACATGAAATCCCCACATGGGTGACAATAGGCAGGACTCGTGCCTTCACATACAAAGACGATGCCTGCACATCAGCAGTAGAAGCAGCTTTCAACACGCTCACTTTGTACAAGGCTTGGTGCAAACATAGTGCAGTGTCTGCACACAGCCCAGTAACATCACAGGAGTGCAGGGAAAAGGGTGGCAGAGGTGTGCCCGAGGGAGCCCGTGCCCACTTCTCCTCCCCTCTCGGCCGAGCAGGGATGGTGACACGGACAGCGTCAGCACTATGGTGGTGCACGAGGTGGACGAGCCGTCGGGCAGTGGTTCGGAGAGCGGCTCCTATGGCGGGGATGGCACCCTGCTGGTGCAGCGGGTGAGTGTGCAGCAGCGGGCTGGGTGGGGACCATAGGGTGGAGAACAGGAGGGATCAGATCTGGGGTGGGACAGCAAG